CACACACTTTCTGTGACTCACCATTTGGTGCCAGGAATTACTTAAAGGTGATTTTGAAGCTCCCAGGTCTCAGGCTGCTGACATGAGTCCTTGGGAAGGTCTGGGCAATGCTCAGTGAACACAGTCATATAATGCTGTGGCTCCAACAATAGCTTGGAGAACCTCCCTTTGGTGAGCAACACTCAAGATTGAGGGTTTAGTGTTACTTTTGTCTTGTGGACCAAGATGCCAGGGAGAACATAAGGAAAAAGGATTTTTTGTTTGTTTTCAGTTTCATAGGTGTCTGTCCATTGTGGCTGGGAATGTGTGGTGTAACAGAACAGTTCACATCACAGAGGCCAGGAAGCAGAGCGACAGGAATATAGGAAGAGGCTGGGGCAAGAGATATCTCCAAGGACATGCTCCCAGTTTCCTTCAACCATGTCCTACCTCCAACCTTTCATTACCTGCCAATAATCAGATCAGATCGTCAGTCCATCAAGGGGTTAATCCATCGCTCAGGGCCCTCAGGATCTGTCTCTGCAAACCCATCACAGACATGCCCAGAGGTATGCTTCACTAATCTCCTGGGTATCTCTCAGTCCAATCAAGCAGACAAGGTTAACCACCATCGCATATGGTCTGAAACCTACTTATTTAATTTTTTCTTGAGACAAGGTCTTCCTGTAGCCCCAGTTGACCTGGAATTTACTATGGAGACCATACTGGCCTTGATCTCACAGAGATCTGCCTGCCTCTGCCTCCCAAGTACTGGGATTAAAGAAGTGTGCCACCATGCCCAGCTTCTAACATTTAAAAAAACTTTTTATTTTATGTGTATGAATATTGCCTGGATGTATGTAAATGCACCACATGAAAGCAATCAATGCCTGCAGAGGTGAGAAGAAGGTGTTGGATCCCCTGGAACTGGAGTCACAGTTGTTAGCTGCTCTGTGGGTAATGAGAACTGAACCTGGGTCCTTTGTAAGAGCACCAAGTCTTCTTAACCACTGAGCCATCTATGTCTCCAGCACCTTTGTGTTTAACATTTCAATTTGCATTATGATATTACACAATCTAAAGCAGTACTCACTATTCACATAGTTAGGGGCTTTGGAGCAAGAAAGTGCTGGACACAACTGTCCAGTGTGAGGTGCAGCAACTGGTCTTCAGCCACAGCAGCTCATTAGCAGCATTCATATGCACTGGCTCCCACTTTTCATCATCAAACTGCACAGAGCCTCCTTTCACAGAAGGTTAAAAAAATGAGCAGAGAACACAAGGAACTTAAAGGTCAGGCAAACATTCCTATGCCAGCAATAGGCCAGTGTCTGGAAGGAGAAGACCTTGGGAACAATACTGTGCAAATATGGCCAATGGTGACTGAAGGTGACAGCCTCCCCTTTCATTTGGGGTGACTTTTAAGCTGGCAACTTTAGAGGCCACTCTTGGCTCTTTCTAAAGCTATGCTTCTTTTTATTTATTTTTATTTTTTTATGTGTATGAGTGTTTTGCCTGCATGTATGAAAGTGCACTCATGCCATGAAATGCCTGTGGAACCCAGATCAGATTCCCTGGAACTAGAGTTACAAACAATTGTTAGCTGCCATATGGGTACTGGGAACTGAACCCAAGTCCTCTGCAAGAACAGTCAGTATTCTTAACCAATTAGCCATCTCTCCAGTCCCCTAAACTTTGTTCACAAAATATTTTTTAAATTTTATTATTTTTATTTTTTATGTGTATGAGCACATGTGTGTGTAAGTGCACCTGTGTTGTGCAATGCATGTGGAGGTCAGAAAAACCGTCGGATCCCCTGGAACTGGAATTATGAATGGTTGTCAGTCACCATATGGGTGCTGGGAATTGAACTCAGGTCCTCTGTAAGAGCAGTTAGTGCTCTTAACTGCTAAGCCATCTCTCTAGCCCCCTTTCACAAAATATTTTTGACTGATTAAAAAAAATTTTTAGCCAGGCATGGTGGGGCATGCCTTTAATCCCAGCACTTGGGAGGCAGAGGCAGGCAGATTTCTGTGAGATGGAGGCCAGCCTGGTCTACAGATTAAGTTGTAGGCCAGCTAGAGACTACAGGGAGACCCTATCTCAAAAACAAACAAACAAACAAACAAAAAAACAAGAGGGTGTTGGATCCCTTGTAACTAGAGTAATGGACAGTTGTTAGCTGCCATTTGGGTGCTGGGAGCTGAACTGCAGTCTTCTCTAAGAGCAGCCGGTGCTCTGAACTGCTGAGCCTGACCCCTAAACTTCTACTTACAAGTTTCTATTAGTTTTTTTTTTTAATTCGTTTCCTCCATTTTTTTTTTCCATTGAAAGAAAAGATTAAATTCAGACAGTTAAAAAGGAAAAACCTGGGCATGGTGACATACATCCGTAATCCCAGCACTCAGAAGGCAGGGCAGGAGCACTGCTACAAGTTTGAGGCCAGAGGTAGAGAGATTTTGTCTCAAATAAATAAATAAATAAAAAAGAAAATAAAACACATTTGGGAAGTACCTTAAAATAAGGGGAAAAATACATATACACATATATACATACATACATGCAAATACATATATACTTTTTCTTTTGTGGTTTCTAGGGCCTTGAACATGCTAGGCAAGCTCTCTACCAATGAGCTTTATCTCTGGCCCCTGAAATAACATTAATGGCCACAACTTCATCATCAGTTTAGACAGGGGCCATGATGAACAAAACCGTAATTAACTGCATCTGAGGTGAAGCGCAGGTGCACAGCGAGGCCTGTCTTGCACATAGTCAGTTCTCCATGAGAGAACTGAGATGCAAAGCCACATCCCAAGCTTTCCAACTCTTGCCACTGCTCATGACCCTTGTGAGGCTCTTTGTGAACTCTCCACTCCTCCCATCTGCTCCTTACCTGGGTGAAAGAAAAGAAGTATGGACTGAGATTCATTTAGAAATAAAGAAGCAAGATGAAAAACAGCTAGTGAACATATTTTGCTGGTGACATTTTTTTCTTTTTTTTTTTTTTTTCGGTCTCTTTGAGACAGGGTCTCCCTGTCACCCCAGCTGACCTGAACGCACTATGTAGACCAGGCTGGCCTTGAACTCACAAAGATCGGCCTGCCTCTGCCTCCCAAGTGCTAGGACTAAAGGCGTGTGCTACCATGCCCAGCTGGTGACATTTAAAAAAATATTTTATTTATTATTTTTATCTTATGTGTATGCATGTATTGCCTGCATGTAGGTAAGTGCACCCGTGTCGTGCAATGCCTTGGAGGACAGAAGAGGCTGTCGGATTCCGTGGAACTGCAGTTACGGACAGTTGTTAGCTGCCATGTGGGTGCTGGGATACGAACCCAGGTCTTCTGCAAGAACAGTGTTCTTAAGTGCTGAGCCACCTCTCCAGCCCCACTGGTGACATTTTTGACTGGCAGAACCAGACCACACGGAGCCACATGTAGGCCACCCGCAGCCCTGACAACACTAGTCCTTAGAAAGCCAGCCACTCCCTGGAGGGTACCCTAAGATTGTAGGGGCAGACATCACACCCCAGTGCCACAGAAGGGAGTGCCAAGAGAGACAGTGGGCCAGGCTGCTGTGTCTCATATGACACCTTCCCACAGTCCCACCCTCTCAAAGTCGAACCTCCAAGCCTCTTCTGCTGCCTCCCCGCCCTCCCTAAGCTGAAGTACCCAAACAGCACCCCCAGGCCTGGGCTTTGGGGCTGCCTGTCTACCTGCCCCATGCGAACCCATTTGGGTCAGCTCTTTCTCACACACTTGCCCAGACCACACTCCTTCAGAACTGTTGCCTGGTTTTTAATTGTTCACCCATTAAGGACACAGTGGGATTAACAGTCCCTACTGAACTGCAAACTCCCCTGGCCCAGGGAAGTCCCTATGGTACTTTCACAGTGACTGGAGCCTTCCTGGCAGGCCCCAGGCCCCACCCAGGTGGCACAGACTGGGATGACCTGGCCTGATGTCCATGCTTTCACCCTCAGACAAACACACACCAGGTCAAATTCTCGATTCTAGACTAGCAGTCATCAACCAACCACAATGCATAGTACCAGTTGTTTATTCTTATCTTGCAAGGGTGGGGGCAGTGGGGGGGCGAAAAACTAACCCACCACATACACCACTACATAGACCGGAAAGCTTTCACTTATAAAAAACAAAAACAAACAAAAAACACCCGCACACTCAGGCTGGCTTCGGAAGGGAAACAAAGATGAAAAACACACTGTTCCTGGTGTCCAAGACTTATGGTTATAAAAAAGAAATATGTTTGGGGCTGGAGAGATGGCTCAGTGGTTAAAAGCATTGACTGCTCTTGCAGAGGACCCAGGTTTGATTCCCAGCATCCACATGGCGTCTACGAACCAAACAGTCCTTAACTCCAGTTCCAGGGGAATCCGAAGCTCTCTTCTGACCTCTGCGGCACTGCAAGACACTGGTGCACTCACATACATGCAGGGAATACATTCATACACATAAGAGGCCCCAGGGATATCGGATGCAGGCATGGCCCGGAGTCTTCATCCCTGCTGAAGTGGGGAGGGGGAGAATCAATGTCAAACTGGCTCCCCCAACCTTGAGCGATGGATTTAATGACCCAGGAAGGAAAATGTAAGGGTGAAAGTCAGGGACAAAGCAGTAGGGAACTTGGAAGAGCAGATCAAATCAGCTCTGCACAGCTGCGGGGGCACCTGCTGGCCTAGGATCCCAGTTCAGCCCCTGACACCCCTAGATCTTCAAGATTCCAGCCCAGCCTGGCCCCTGACGCCCTGAGAGTCTCAGCTCACCTCTGACACCCTCCTGAGATTCTTGGGATCCCGCTCGGCCCAGGCATCCCTTGGTTCTCAGCATCTCTACCTAGCCGTCGACAACTGAGATCCTCAGGATCCCAGGCCAGTCTCTGACACCCAGAGATTGTAGACACACGCTCTGGAGACCCTAACCCCCGCCCTCCAACATTCCCGGACCCGGAGGCCTGTTCCTCCGTCCCCCGCCCCGCCGCGGACCCGCACGTCTTACCGTAGGTCTCAGACATGGCTGTCTGCGCCATCCTGCCGCCGCGGCTCCGCGGGTCCGCCGGTCTCGGCAGAGTCAGGGGTACGGTGCAGGGAGGGCCGGGCGATGGCCCACGGCTAGCCGGCCACCGGCTGCGGCCCAGTGGGACTTGTCTCCGCGCCTGCGCACCGCTGACCCCCGGAGGAGCCAGGTAGGGGGAGGGGGAAGGAGAGGGGCGGGGTCGCAGGAGGAGGGAGGGCGGGACCAGGGAGGGTAGGACTAGGGAGGGAGAAGAAAACCGGGAGGGGAGGGTGCGCGGCCGCGGAGAGGGAGGGAAAGAAGAGGGCAAGGGAGGAGGGAGAAGGGAGGGGGGAGAAGGGAGGGGGGAGAAGGGAGGGGGAGGAGCTGAAGGACGGGGATGGGGAGAGGGGAGGGGAGGAGGAAGAGGGGAGAGGGGAGGGACGCTTGCACCCGGTCGGTCCTCCCAGATGGCCCTGCCGCAGACTCACTCATCCTAAAGCCTTACCTCCAGGCTAGGGTGGACTAGAGGCATCCCCAGACTGGCTTTACAGGCAAGAGGATTTACTTGCGGGAAGCCAGGCTAGAATCGCAGTCCAGGTCACCGCCTCGAGCAGGTGTTCCAGCTTGGCGCCTTGCACAGGAGTGTAGGAAAGGCAGGACCTTCCCAACGCTTTAGGGGACTTGTGCTTTCAGGGAAGGGGAGCAATGACACCAGACCCCTGGATGCCAGCTAATTTCTAGGAGTGTGGGTGTTTCTTTTAGGAGACAATGCAGGTCTGAGCCTTCTCCCAAGAAAAGATGGGTGAACATTTACTGGAAGGCAAATTTGGGTCGGTATTTGGCCCACTTGAGCAGACCAGGGCCTAAGCGCCTACGTTCACCATAGTAGCCCCAGAGGACTGGACTGGGGAAAACGCCTCTGTACATTTTTTTCAGGCAGGCTGGCTCTGCTAGTATCTGGTCAGACCTTCCCACCTGACCCTGCGCTGTTTGGCTCTATATTTTACTCTTGTGTTTTTGTGACACGGAAAATTAAGAGACTGTGGGAAGGAAAAGGAGTCCCTCATCCTGGAGTCTGGTTGAAGTCTCTTGCTGGCACAACAAAGATTGCCTGGCAGGGTGGTGTTGACCTGTAGCCCCAGCATTTGAGAGGCAGAGGCCAGAGACTTGCTTTGTGTTCAAGGCCTGCCTGGGGTACATATTGAGGAGACCCTTTCTCAAATAACTATTTAAAAAAGCAAAAATAAAAAACGATTGCCTACATAGAACCAATATTATTTTTATTTGGAGCTATTTCAAATAAGAATGTTAAACAGCAGTGAATTAAGCCCGGTGTGGTGGCCCACGCCTTTAATCCCAGCACCCGGGAGGCAGAGGCAGGCAGCTCTCTGTGAGTTCCAGGCCAGCCTGGTCTACATATCGAGTTCCAGGACAGCTGGGGCTATGGGGAGACCCTGTCTCAAAAAGACGAAAAACAAACAAAAACTCAGCCCCACAACTGTAAATAGCAGTGAATTGTGCTTAAGGCCCAGGAGTATGTGACCTTTGAGTTTAGCCTTGTTTCTTTCCTAGCTTTAAACCTGTGATTTTCTGAGAACCTCACAAACAAGATTACAACTTTGTTTACATTCAAAAACATATGTCTTCTTTGTGATTTAATATAGTAAAGAATCTTTGGCCTTTGTGACCTGCGTTTTCATCTTAGTTTATAATCCTATTCAGTACTTCAGAAACCATTCTATGATCTCACTGAAAAGAAAAAAAAAAAAAAAAGCATGCCTGGGGTCCTGGTGCTCACCTTTAATCCCAGCACTTGGGAGAGGCAGAGGCAGGTGGAGCTTTGTGAGTTCAAGACCCTCATGGTCTATGTAGCAAGGTCCAGGTCCAGCAGGGGCATTATATAGTCAGACCTTGTCTCAAAAAAGAGGAGGAGAGAGGAGAAGGAGAGAATGAGAGGTCAAGCCAGCTTCAGTTACATAGCAAGTTTGAGGCCACCTTGAGATACATGAACTCCTGTCTAAAAAAAAAAAAAAAAAGGAAGGGCTGGAGAGAGGGTTCAGTTGGTAGAATGCTTGCCACTCAAGCATGAGGATCTGTTTGGATACTCAGCATCCGTGTAAAAAGTTGAGTGCAGTAGTTGCACCTGTAATCCTAATAGAAGATGGACAGGGAGATCCTAGGGCTTGCTGGCCAGCTACTCTTGCCAAATTACCGCTGTTGTTTCAGTGAGAGACCTTGTCTCAATAAAAAAGATAGACAGTGATGGAGGAGGGCACCCTCATCAACCTCTGGCCACTACACATACGTGCACACACATGCATGTGAACACACAGAGACCCTAGGGCCAGTGACATGGCCTAGTGAGTAGAACCCTTGGGCTCCTGGCAGGCCACCTGGTTTATTTGGTGATCTCCAGGCCAAAATAGGTGAACAACTCTGAGGAACAACTCCTAACTCCCAAAGAAAGGTGCTGGCTACCACACACACACACACACACACACACACACACACACAAATGTTAAAAAACAAAAAATAAAAACTAAAATTATACATATGGCTATTGTTAAGGCACTTGAAGCTGTCTCTATTTTTTTAAATTAATTTATTTCTTGAGACAGGGTCTCATGTAACTTATTATATAGCTGAGGATAATCTTTAACTTCTAATTTTCCTGCCTCTACCTCCTGAGTACTGAGATTGCAGGTTTACACCTCAATGTCTGGCTTATTTGCTGCTGGGACTTGAACTCAGGGCTTCATGTATGCTAGGGAGCACTCTACGAACTGTGCTACATCCCCAGCCCAGGACTCTTCTGAGAACCCCCTACCCATGTCTTTTTCCCAAATGTCTTCTCTCTGTTTTAATGCCTGTGCTATTGAAGGAGAGTGCCCCTCAGACCCCCCTCTTTGTCCTCTGAGAAAAAGCTGCCCTCCGCCTGACTCTGGAAATCCCCTAGATTGTTCGAAGCCTTTCCTGGTATATCTGCTTATGGTTTCTATGGAAATGATCTGGGGCAGAAGAGGAAGAACGTTTGAGGAAACTAGGCGCCACAAGCCCATTGTCAGCCAGAAGCCAGAACCAGCCTTATCTAAAAGCTCCACAAGCCCATTGTCAGCCAGAAGCCAGAACCAGCCTTATCTAAAAGCTCCACAAGCCCATTGTCAGCCAGAAGCCAGAACCAGCCTTATCTAAAAGCTCCACAAGCCCATTGTCAGCCAGAAGCCAGAACCAGCCTTATCTAAAAGCTCCACAAGCCCATTGTCAGCCAGAAGCCAGAACCAGCCTTATCTAAAAGCTCCACAAGCCCATTGTCAGCCAGAAGCCAGAACCAGCCTTATCTAAAAGCTCCACAAGCCCATTGTCAGCCAGAAGCCAGAACCAGCCTTATCTAAAAGCTGCAAAACAGGCAGGCACCGCTGGTCAAGCTTCAAGGATCAAGCTGTAAACAAATCTTACGGGCGGAAGGACCACCCTTAGGGCCCGATACCAGTAATCCCATTTCCCCTTCAGTGTTGTCTCTGTGTCTTGCGTTGTCTGTCTTTTGTCTGTTTTGTCTGATCCTGTTAGGCAGCATCTGTAGAATTTGGAATCTGAGATCTCGTCTGTACTTTTGGACAGTGCAAGAGCAAGACGACGGTCTTTGAGCTTTGCCTGTCGCCCTGGGGGACGCCCCAGGGACTGTGAGATCCACATCCGTAGAACTTTTTGTTCATCTGTACTCGTGGATCTCATCTGAACAAGGGACGTGGAATCCCCTTGTCAGCAAGGGACGTGGAATCCCCTTGTCGCCTGACTGAGCTGCACATCTGAGTAAATTGTTTTCCTGTGTGTATTCTGTGTATTTGTGTTGGTCGCGACCGCATCCCAATGGTCTGGGGTGCCCGGTATTTTGGAGCTCAATATACATCTGAAGGATACGTATCCCTGAGACGCGGAGCACCAACTCCGCCCTCTGATTTTATACTTTCACTTTTTCTCCAGAGCCACACTAAGCGATACCTTGCAGGGGGCTGTCTGATTTTATTGTCTCTGCTGGTTGCTGGTCTCTTTATAATTCTAGAAAGTCCTAAAATGGGACAACAACTAACTACCCCTTTGAGTCTGACCTTAGATCACTGGAAAGAAGTCAAGAGCCGAGCCCACAACCAATCAATGGAAATCAAGAAGAATCAATGGATAACCTTTTGTTCCTCCGAGTGGCCCATGTTTAATGTCGGTTGGCCTCGGGATGGGACTTTTGATTCTGATGTTATTTTGCAGGTTAAAGCTAAGATCTTCTCTCCCTCCCTATCACCCCCCTCCGCAGGCTGCTGCGGCGGTTCTAGATGACGTCCAAGCAGAGGGACCGGAGGTCGCTCCCTCTCCCATTGCGGGTCGACTCAGAGAGAGGAGAGGACAGGGAGATTCCTCACACATCCTGCCCCTCCGACTCGCAGGAGGGGAAGGAAACCAGTTTCAGTATTGGCCCTTCTCCGCTTCAGACCTGTATAACTGGAAAACTCATAACCCGTCCTTCTCCCAAGACCCTGTGGCCCTAACTAACCTCCTAGAGTCTATTCTTCTAACCCACCAGCCCACCTGGGATGATTGCCAGCAGCTTCTCCAAGTTCTCCTCACGACAGAAGAAAAACAGAGGGTTATTCTGGAAGCCCGCAAGCAGGTTCCTGGGGCGGATGGGAGACCTACCCAGCTGCCCAACGAGATAGAAGCTGCCTTTCCCTTGACCAGACCAGATTGGGACTTCAACACACCTGAAGGTAGGGGACACCTACGCCTTTATCGCCAGTTGCTCACAGCGGGCCTCCGAGCAG